CTGGGGCCAGCACGTCATGCAGTACTGGGGATCGAACCCGGTACCTTGTGCTTGTCAGGGCTTAGATAACCGAGCTATCTCCCTGGCTCAAGTTTTAAAAATACACTCATGGTTAGGTCCAAGTGTGTGGGAAGCTGAGGCAGGAGGATTGTGATTCTTAGTCCAGCTTGGGCTACATGAATAAATGAAAGACAAAAGAAGCGGATAAGGTATATCAGCACATCTAGGGATGGAAGGTCTCTGTTGCGTTGCGTCCCAGTGTGCTCTGCCCCCTGCTGGCCACATTGGGTATTGCCTGTCCCCGGAAAGCAGCGTTTTCCCACCTCTGCATTTTGACCCGGGAGCTCACTCTAGACCCAGCTGGCCTCAAGTGTGGGGACCCGTCGCGGTTCTCGGTGGCCCTGGGCAAAGACGGGGAGGAAAATAAAGATGCGGTGAATGGAGGAGACCTTTCCATTCTTTTTTTTTTTAACGGTACCAGGGAATGAACTCGGGACCCTGTGCTTGCCCGGCAGGTGCTTATGCCGCTGAGCTGTATGCCTGATGCCCCCCAAGAGCATCTTTTTTGAGAAAATTTTAATTGTATTTTTTTTTCTGGAAAAATTTATCTTTGATCATCACCAAGTTATCCGTTGCCTCCCAAGAGACTACAGATACCATTGGGGGCTCCTGGTTAATGAACAGTGCTTAGCTACCCCTCTGTCCGATAGGTGCTGGCCCTGGTATGAATTGCTGAAATCCTGGTGGTCATCTAACATGGCTGAAGCCCTTAAACAAAAGCCCTCCTGCCTCAGGGAAGACCCACACTCAGCTCCTCAGCTCAATCTAAACATCCCCTCCCAGCTCCACGCCTGGGAAGAGGCCATAAAAGCCTCCCTTTGTTCCAAAAGAGAGAATTCCTCATCTTCCCCAAATTCTCTCCACGTCCTCAAAGAAAATTAAAGCCCCTTTCCCTTCTCCTTCTGCCTGTTTCTCTGCTGTGCTGGTTACTTGAAAAAACCAATCACTATCACCAATTGTTGTCCCGCCCAATAACCTCCCCAGACTCTTCAGAGATTTTTAATTTTTAATTTTATTTATTTATTTTTTTTTTTTGCGGAACCGGGGATTG